AGGTGAGATAGAAGACCTCATCAGCTGCTTGAAGGCTGTGAGCTGTTAAAGCCGGCTGCAGTGTTGAAATCCCGGGTAGGCAGTGGATAGAACAACCCTTGAAAAGACAGGGCTGGCTTAGATGCAGGGCTGTGCGCTACCCCAGCGAGTGGGGCCTGGTTTATTTGTCCTATTAAAGAAAAGATCCCATTCTTGCAATTTCTGGTACCCATGGGAGTTGCTCTTGCGGAAAAGAATTTGATTCGGGGGGAGTGCAGTGCGGGGCCCGGCTGGGACAAACCTCAGTCCTGGAACTGTGTCCTCTGTCCCCCCCAGCCTGGCTTAGCTGCTCCCCGGTGATGCAGGCTTGGCTATAAACAGGCGCCGCTCGGCTGTCTGATTGCCATGTAAACAAGAGGGAGCTGGATGGGGAGGGAGGACTTGTGGTGTAGATGGAGTTCTGATTCTAAACCAATTCACATCAGAATGACCAGGCTGGGTGAGACCAAAGGCCCATCTAGCCCCCAGTGGCCAGTGCCAGAGGCCCCAGAGGGAGGGAACAGAACAGGGAACATCCAGTGACCCCTCTTCTGTTGTCCATTCCCAGCCTCTGACAGGGGCTAGGGACACCATTCCTATCCATACTAGCTAATAAGCATTGATGGACCTAACCCCCGTGAATTTATCTAGCTCTTTTTTTGAACCCTGTTCAAAGTCCTGGTCTTCACATCCTCCGGCAAGGAGTTCCACAGGTTGACGACACACGGTGTGAAGAAAAACTTCCTTTTGTTTATTTGTAAACCTTCAGCCTATTTTCATTTGGTGACCTCCTCGTTCTTATGGGTCAGTGCGGGTGTGGTGTGAGGAAGGCACCGGCCTTCGACCCTGTGTGCTAAGGGTAGGAAAGAGATGTTTGGAGTTTGAATACCTACCTCTCCCCCTTTGCTATATAGTGCAGGAGACTTTTCGGCACCGCGACTGCATGACTCTTGGCTCCAAACTCCCTTCCCAGCTCCTTTCATTTCCAGCTCTGCTGGCATGACAAAGGCTCTATGTTAAACCCACCAGCGCGTGCTGGTTTGAAACGGCTGCTTTGCAGCCCCCTTGCAGATTCCCTTGGGTGGGTGTTGGTTGCCAGGGGGCTGCGAAACGCTGGGTATCGATTGTACACATTCACGCTGCTGCTCCAAAGCTGTCTCCTGCTACGGAGGCAAATCGGGCCCTGACCCTGCTTTTTCTAAGCATGACTGGAGGTTTTGGGGTGTCCAAACTGAGCTCTCTGCAACTGGGGGTGGGAGGGAGAGTCAGAAAGCAGGGGCACCCTCTCTCGTCGCTCTGGAGAAACCGAGGCGCTGGATTCTGCTGTTCTATGCAAAGAGCCTTAACACTAAACCCGATTGCACTTAATCCGCAAGAGCAGCCGCATTTTGGTCACCCCAGGCAACGCGGGAAATTCCCGCGGGAGATTCTCGTCAGGACAAACCAGCTCCCAGGCTTGAAACGTTCCGGTCACGTGGGGTGCCCGTCGGCGAGTTTTCTGTTCTGAAATAAGACACTGGGGCCCGTGGCGTTCTGGGTCCCTCGCGGGCTGGGGAATAAGCTTTTGCCAGAACAGAGTGCTGCGATGCCACCCTGTTCCTGCTGCGGGCGGACGGTCTCCAGGCCTGAGTGCCAGGCAAGCACGGCTGCCAAGGCCTGCCTGGAAGGGGCTTAGCCAAAGAATAACGTACTAATAAACGTGTGTTTTATGCTCTGCTTGGTGCCTTCGTCTGGAACCAACTTTACAGGACTTGCGCCATGTGACTTGCTGTCCTGCTCTAGGGGTTAGGCTGGGTAGAGACGATCTCTGCTACGGCTGCCCAGAATGGCATTGTCCTGCAGCAGCTCTGAGACCCTGCACCCCCTGAAGCGGCCTGGTCCCAGGTTGGAGCCTGCTGGGAACAGCTGCCGGCCTGGCGTAGGAGCTCAGCTGGGACGCTGGCCGGCCAGGTGGCCGTTCTCGTCCAGCCCGCAGCTGTTCGTCCCAACCAATGTTCCCTCCAGTCTTTTCCAGATTTTTGCGCATTCCTGTGCGGAATAATTTTTTACATGCACCGGGACCTGGGCGGATGTGCACCACCAGTAGAAACTCTGCTAACCAGCGGGGCGGCATTGGAATTTCTCTGGAGTGGCCGCACAAGTGCACGGCTTACAGGGGAAACTGGGTCCAACTCAGGATGTAAAAAGTAAATTGGTAGCGGCCGGAGTCAGCCCTGCAGGGCCACCCCAGGAGCCCCTGTCTGTGGTGGGCCCATCCGCCCCCCCTCCCATTCCCAGTTACAGGTCACACACTGGCTCCCTGGGAGCGGGGCCGGCAGGAGCTTTGGTGCTGCACGGAAGCCCCCTAGGGCAAAACTTAGCAGGCTCTGCTGTACCTTGTAGCTCTTGCGGTGTCTACAGGGGAGGGGGAGCAGGGTGGGCCGACAGCAGGAGCCCTTTGGGGCTGGCTGTGGCCTCCCATTGTCACAAGTCCCCCCTTGTCCATGCTGGAAAAGCGGTCGCGATACGAACGCAGCCCTGGGCTGGGGCGGTGGAGCGCAGGAGGGGAAAGGCAGCTTGTCCAACCCGCGCCTGGCGGTTAACGCCTGCGGTGTCTACAGGGGAGGGGGAGCAGGGTGGGCCGACAGCAGGAGCCCTTTGGGGCTGGCTGTGGCCTCCCATTGTCACAAGTCCCCCCTTGTCCATGCTGGAAAAGCGGTCGCGATACGAACGCAGCCCTGGGCTGGGGCGGTGGAGCGCAGGAGGGGAAAGGCAGCTTGTCCAACCCGCGCCTGGCGGTTAACGCCTCTGGCCCAGACTCGGCGCGGGACCTCGTCCCTGTTCCCGCGGGGTCCCGGGCAGCCCGCTGCTGGGGG